CGTTGATCACAACTAAACAACCTTATTATTAACTAAATCTCTAAAATTATTGCCCTGGATTATGATGAGCAAATTACTCTAGTGTAGTTTATCATATTCAAATATTTTACGAAAGTTTGCTAAAAATAAATGTTTTAATGCTAAGGCGACAAAAAAAAACAGAATAATACAATCTTATAATAAAACACTTGACTGGTAAAATACTAAAATGCAAAATTGACTTTATAACTAAAGTAATGGTCTAATAAGACCTATAGGTAAGGCGTGAATAATATGGGTGAAACTCTTTTTAAAATTATTTGGTCGTCGTCAATTGTATTCAGGATTACACCGATTATTTGTAAAATTTATGTCCATATACACGAACATGAACAAAATCTCTTCATGATAATTACCAGTCGTTTTTTGTTCAACCCTACGTTTATCCACAAAACTGTCATATTTTCCACATAGTATTCCTCCTACCTGTTGTTGCAAGCCGATGGCGACCATACGCAAAATTCTGATAGCTTATTTTTTCTGTAATTCGCAATGATAGTGCCGTCTAGGAAGACAGAATCCATAAAAATGTTTGCATCGAAATATATTTCATTTTCTATAAATTCGAAATAAAACACCTGCATGTGTATCCACCATACGTATATGTCACATGTGTAAGTAGACTAGGATCCGGGGAGGTCGTGAAACAGTAATTCGCGAATAACACCAAATGAAGAACAAGTCCAAAAGTAAAATAACTACGGTCAAGGATTTAAACTACTGGATCCCAACATGAAAATTCAAATACACTGTACTTTCCAGGAAGTTTCAATGTAATGGGTTGAATCCTGAGTAACATCATGAAAATGCAATCCTTAGAGGTACGAAAACGGAACGAAACAAACGTTTATATCTTCCTACTTTTTAAAGTCTCCGTTCGATGTGAATTTGAGTTAAATTTATCATTTAATAAACATGGCAATTCATGTTTGAACAATTTATTTGACTATAAAGTGTTGTTAAGTAATCTCAGTTAACTAGTTATTAAACATTCAATGATGAATAGATATATATTTAACCTATCTACAGAATCATTTTCACTTAAAATAATCATTAATTGTCGAAATCAGCCAATGAAAGAACTGACAGGTATTTTAAAAACTAGTGACATTAACATAAAGACATTCTTAGGATACAAGGTTGCTGAAGACTGTTAAATTTGAGGATCACGCTCTCCACATATCTGAGAGTCTAAGGTTTCATCCAAAGCAAAAACGTGAGTGAGCTTTTATAAAGTAACCCATACTGAGACGAAACAGTGATGGGTTATTCCTTGGTTTTCCACATTTGTTTGAAATAAACTATTTTAATGAACAAACATATCTACCTTTAGTCATATTGTTTTTCTAACTACTTATATTGATACAAACCTGTTTTAATGTATCTTATATCCTAGAGATAAATTAATAAGTTTCCCTGTCATCATTTTTATATCATCCAAGATACTTTTGACTGATTCTAGCTTGAGGTGTCACCAATGTAAACATAACTTTTGATTGATTTGTCCTTATTTGACCTGTTAAAAAAATTGTCAACTCCTTAAAACTTCCGTTCACCTAATTTGTTTATATTGGTTAACCAGCCAACCTTTTTTCCCTAAAGATATTGTGTTACATTTTACTAACCTCATATATATATATATATATATATATATATGCATGCTAATTAGAATTAATTGATCAGATGTTGTCCATCAATTCTGTGGTCGGATTTAAGTCGCTAATATAAAAACTTGTGAATTATCTCTAAGCATTATTGTTATGATATAAAGTTGTAAATATTATTAATGATTTAGTGGTTATAAAACTTATCTTTCAACAAGTAAATTATCGGTTTGAATCCCATCTTAGTTACGTTGGTTTAGGCAACTGAATAGTATCACTGGCCCTTACAAAAACAGTAAAGGTTACTAGAGTGCACATAAATTTGTAATCAATATGTTAGTTACATTAATAATAGTTTATATATCACTTAAGTAAGGTACAATGTAAAACAACCCAGTTTCCATTATTTATAATAAAAATGAATAACGGGTTATTATTCAAGTGCTCTTTGGAATAATAATTAATTATTCTTTTGTTTTTTGATTAATTTCAATGCACATTTCTATTTACGTTCCATATTGTTCTATACACTGAAGGTTGTACTATTATTAATATTAGTGTTTTAATTTCATCATAAAATTGTAATTGATTAGTTTAAATCATGAACCGATCTTAGAAAAAAGATTTGAAACTAAGAAACGCTTAATAGCTACTTCGTTTTAGTATGTAAATCCTAAGGAATTTGGATCAATGACCCCACTGGTAGTCGAACCCAAGATCTTCAGGTTGTAATACAAGCTATAAAATTTGACAATCTCTACAAATCTCTTACATTAGAATTGTAATTATCATGATAATATTTAAATGATAAGAATTAGATAACAGTTGATCACATTTTGTGATCTAAACATTGAACATTAATCAATGCTGATTAATCAATATTGATCTGTTTGTTTTTTTTTAATTTGCCATTGAAATGATCATTTCATAAGTCGTTTCGTGAATGTATTTTACTGTAGAAACTTTAGTAGAATGAAATATCTATTTAATATTCCCTATTTCTAAATCACTCTACATCTTATATCAATTGTCAATGGAAAAACTATTCACATTTTATTCCATGTTTATATTTCTTCAATTTACATGTATATCTTCTAATTCACATTAATATTTCCTTCCTACTAGTGTTCTGCCAGTTTACTTTTACTATCCACTAGATTAGGCTATTTTTATCATGTATAAAACATAATTTCTAAAAATAACTTTAAAAATCTTGTCTTATGGAATAAATGATGGACAATAGTTGAATATAATCTTACTTTACTTACTTACACCTGTTACTCCCAATGGAGCATAGGCCTCCGACCAACATTCTCCAACCCACTCTGTCCTGGGCCTTCTTTTGTAGTTCTATCCAGTTTTTGTTCATTCTTCTCATGTCTGTCTCTATTTCTTGGCGTAATGTGTTCTTTGGTCTTCCTCTTCTCTTTTGGCCTTCAGGATTTCATGTGAGGGCTTGTCTTGTGACGCAATTAGGTGATTTCGTCAAAGTGTGCCCCTATAATCACTTACAACTAATTTTTTATTTGATTTATATGATATTACTGAAAGCTAGAATCAAAATTCTATACCGAGATTTCCTAATTCCTTCAAAATCACATTTTCAAAGTTTTATACATTTATATTTCTTTTTGATGAATGTTATTTGAAATCTAAACAATTAACGGTACGTAACTGAAGAATGTAGATAGCTTTCGTCAAATGTAATTTTATTCCTATTATTATAATGTCATCAGTTAATTAGTTTACTTTAAATTAAGAAAGTCCTGTTACACCTCTACTTGGTTATTAATTTGCACTCATTAAACCTGTCTTGAAGTTTTGTTTAGTGATTTTGTTAATTTGGAATAAGTTTTCTCATCAAGATATACGATTAGTTTGCAAGTGTATCAGTAGTAAATTTCATTATAAGTCTATCAGTTAATAGAGTATTTTAACAAATGTTTTTAACAGGAATAACATTTCAAAATAATTCTACTACTAATCAACAGTAAGACGATTAATTGAGAGAGTAAAGAGTACCGGAGAGATGTCCCATTTAGGCATATCCTCACAACCTGTTAGAAGATTCAGAACTTCATAGTGATCACGAAATTATTGAGCTGTTGAATCAAATTTTCAGGCGTTTACATTCTCAAATCAAATCAATTAATAATACTCCATAGCCTTTATTCATTATTATCGTTAGGTAATCGATGCACTGTCAACTGACTTGATTGATTGGTGTTTTTTTTCTTATGCTCTGTTCTACAGTTGGAAAGCTGAATACAATAACGAAACAAAAATGCTTACAACAAATATTGTAAGCAAAGATGCATAGTGACTAAGAGTGGAATCCAAGACGCGCGTTTCGTCCTATTTGGGACTCGTCAGCTGGATATACCTGCATCTTAGAGTTTATGTTCACTCTGGGACTGGAACCCATTACCTTTCGCTTCAAACACCATCGCGTTATCCACTCAGCTACTGATTCCTGATAGGCACTTGCTTTTGAAATGGGGTGAAGCTTTAATTCACTTAGTATTGTTTGTTTAAATCTTCCCATTGATGCTTAGGACTTTAACTGGTCAGTCTCTAATTGGCATATGTGCGTACGCGCGTCCTGGATTCCACTGCTAGCCACTATCCATCTTTGCTTACAATGCTTGTAAATTAAGGCTATATCGAGGCAATAAGAACAGTATTCCCGATCCTACCAACGATGATAGTGTTTAAAAGCATGAGCAAGTATTTACAGAAATATTTCAGATGTTCGTTAAAAATTACTAATTAAAAATACTAGTTTTGTACAATTTGATTTAGTCTTACACAGCCAGCTGAAATGTTTTACAAAATTGTGAATCTTTTTAAAACTCTAACAAAAATATCACATTTCCGCTGACGCCACAGCTCACTAAATGTTGTGTTATTGGAAATTTATTATTTTTTATAAATTATAGAAGGGGTTTTGTGGAGATTTAGTATTTATTATAGTTGAAAGCGTGAGTCAATTGAAGCTAGACCACCATGGAAAACCTGGAAACACTGGACGGCCGTTTCGTCCTATTATGGTTGTTCAACTTTGTGGATCAGTTGAAGTTAGACATTAACACCGTTGGATGCCAGCTCAGTGGTCTATCGGTTAAGCGCTTCGGCTCGAAACTGGTAGGTCCTGGGTTCGAGTCTCGCGAGAGCGGGTTCGTGGATGCGCACTGCTGAGGAGTCCCATAATAGGACGAAACGGCCGTCCAGTGTTTCCAGGTTTTCCATGATGGTCTAGCTTCAATTGACTCACGCTTTCAACTATTTTATATAAGCTTACTTTTTTTCTTATAAAAATTGATTGGTCGTTTATTCTGTAATTTTTTCTATTTATAGGCTGCAGATTCAGAGGATGAAGTGGAAGTACGAGAAGTCCTCATAAAATTTCGTCAGTCACTTAGAACAGCCATTAACCCAAGAAATTTAAACAAATTCATAATGTCATTTATGTCGTAAGTGATATGAGATTATTGAAAATTAATGAATTTATATTAATGAATATGAGGATTTGTGAAGAATATTGAGTATCGTTTAGACAACGAACCGACCTAGGGTAAACAACCATCAAAAACTAGGAACCATTAGGCAGTTGGCTTGTCCCACTGTGGGACTCTTCAGTTTCAGGAAGAGTCCTACAATTGAATGACTATTTCACTATTCACATTTTTCTAAATTAATCTCGTCGTGCTTCTGGGATACTACATCTTGGGCTACAGTACAGACTCTATGGTGACTGATTACTGAAATGCAATCTACACTTTGATATTTTATCTATGCTGGTTTGCGAACAGTTTCGATAGATAAACACTAACAAAAATAAATCGTAAATGACAGGATAAAAAACATTCCGTTTAATCATTTAAGAGTAATTTTATCAATTACTATGACACTTAATAAAAAAGTAATCTAATGCGCTCATTTTACACGTTTTTAAAAACTCATCAAGGAAATTTAATCTTAAACCATTTTTAACCTTGAAACTGCATAATAGATTTTTTAGAGTTAATTTCAATTAATCAGACCTCTTTTGTAGCACAATACTAACTAGTAAATGGAAACTAATACCTATATTCTATGTGTATACTATGGTAATACAGTTTAGAATCTGTTATCTATAATATATTAAAGTTTATAGTTATTTTATGTTCAAGTATAAAATTCAAAGAAATTTATTCAGTATAACTGTTAAATAGAGTTTCATTTAGTTGTAGTTAACATTGAATTTAGTACGATTATATATCAATGGTCAAGTTGGATTACACGTTTCATATTATCCTAATGGTAGAAGAATTCAACGAAAAGCGAAGAAAACTAAATTGTATTAAATATCATAGAAATCCAATCAGGACAAGTTGATTAATGAAGGTTTTTATTTACTTTTTGTTAATATTAGGAACTGTAATCGATCAGTCTGTATTGGCATATGTGCATCTTGAGGGGTTCACCTCAGTAAAATATTATGTTACGGTTTGTTTCAAGCAAAATTGAATAATGTTGAGAGGTGGAATTCAGGTACAGGATTTAAGTCACATTATGAACACCAAGATGTAGACGCAGGTGCACTCAGCTGACGAGTTCCAAATAGGATAAAGTTCACAACTTGGGTTTCATTCCTAGACACTATCCATCTTTGCATTAAAATGCTCGTGATTGATGACAGTACTGTGACAATCCGACAAAGATGCACTAACGCTAAAAAAAGACTGATTAACTGCGGTCCTCAATATCAACAGAGTGAAGATTCAAATCCTTACAACTGGATTTTACTTTATTCTCTTCGCATAAAGTCATTAAATATCTTGGATTGTGAAGTTAGGTCGATAAGTCTTTGGCGTTTGAAGTGAAAGGGACTGGGTTCTAGTCCCAGGATGAACATCAACACTGTGCTGAAGGTACATTCAACTGACAAGTCCCAAATAAGACAAAATTAACATCAATCAATTCTAAACTATGCTACGATCGTAGCTCATTTAAAATAAAATCACTCTTGAGCATCAATCGATCATCATTCACAAATTGATGAGCGAAGAACATCTTCCATAACGTTCTCTTGTAAAATCAGGTTAACTTGTTTGTTATATCTAGTCATCGACCTTAGAGAACCAGTTTTATAAAACGAAAGAGTACCAGTTTTTGTCAACTAAATTTACTCATTTGAATACTTTGGAATTATCTGACTATCATATTCCATTGATTTGTCGGTAAACTTGGCTGAATTTAAACGGTAGTGTTATCCAAAATTTTTATTCTATACCCAGAATATATATATATAAATGAGTTTACTGAGTACTTTATATTCCGGAACCTCGTTAAACATCTTTGATGTTATTTTTCAAAAAAATAAACGAAGAATGCGATTAGTTCACCGGTATCCTATAATTTGTAGTGACAGCGGCACTATTTAAATTAGTTATTTCGAATGACTTATACAATATACTGTCATTTTTCAGGTCATTTCTAATTACAAACCCAAATAATATATATGGAACAACGTTTCATTATAATATAAACTATCGTTATGATTTTACAGTATTACTCAGATGATACATAACGTTACATCTGTTTGCGTGTACAAACTTTAGCAAACTTACTTTTCAGTTGACTTTTAAACCTTTAAAAGTTTCCTCTAAATAGTAATCCCTGGATTGAACAAAAATAATCCTAATACGATATAGATTTAACACTTCAAGTTTTGTTCTGATTCAAGTGAAGAAGTGACGTAATAGTTATATCTCTCAATTATCAGATAACAGCTTTATAGTCGATCTGATGTAGTTGATTATCTTGATTGATCAGAGATACATGTAGACATATTTTCACCAATAAACAAGGGTTTGGAACACTCTCCACATTGAATTCAATTTTCGTGGTATAGTTTTATTTTGTCAAGTAAATTCTTAAATCCAAATACGATTACTTAACGTGCAATTTTACCATTTTACTGTGTATAAACGAAAATTAATTTTATGAGCCATTACTGTGGTGTGGGTTACTGATATCCACATAAGTAGTATATGGTGGTGGTCGAGCATTGAATTCATTTCAGTAGATCGATAAAGAGAGAACGGGATAGGCAAGCAATTGGTACTAAAATGCATGAACAGTTTTAATCGGAGACTAGAGACGGATATTTGCAGAAGAAACAGTCAAATTTATGACAATGGATTGTTATTTTGCAAATTAACTGTTTACTATATAGTTGTCATATTTTAATGAGATATTCTGTAATGTTGTGCTGAACTACATTCGACCGTCCCCATCCGTGTTCTTGTTCACTACGTTACTACTAACATTTACAGTAACTAAACAATGAGAAAGGGAAATTTTACAACGTGATTCTTTCCATCAGATAACCAATATTTTAAACTATAATTAAATGTTTTGTAACCTGAAATGATAACACTTATTTCTCATTTCGGTTAAGAAATTGTTTAAAAACTAATGTTTGTACAATTAAGTGTTTTTATATTACTCCTTAGATAAGGAGACTGATTATGGTTATGGTCAGCAGTGGAATCCAGGACGCCCGTTTTATCTTATTTGGCACTGGTCAACTGTATATACCTATCTTATAGTGATACTCAGTCCAGAACTCAGAGTCTGATAGCTTTCGCTTTTAACACCAACATGTTATCCACTGAGCTACTGAGTCCAAATAGTCACTCACTTGTACAATGATTATGATGATTTTTTCATTCCTAGCCACAATACATCATTTCTATAAAAACTTGTTAAAAATATGGCTATGTCGCGACACTTCGCACTGAATGTACGTACATCAACCAAGATTGACCGAAATCCAATCGCCAATGCCAGCAACGGGATAATTTAAATCCATTCTAAGAATAGTCAATATTCGGTTTTAAATAGACATTTTCTTATGATTGTATGTAGTGTTAAAATTCATGTTAATTCGTTTTCTTTGGTATACTGAAACTTTAAGACTTAAATTGATAGTTTTATATCGAAACTTAGTCAGTTAAACAGTCGCATTGTAAATTATTCAATGAAACTGTTAATCAGTAGTGGAAATATTGAGTAATGAAAATATATATTAGTTATGAATAAGAACATGTAACCTGTGAAATAAACATGTTAAGAACTTAGGGAAAAAACACCACTGACGGTGTGTGAGAATCGTGATGTATAGAACCTTTTGACGTAAATATATCATGGTTACCTGAATGATCTTAGTTGAATGTCATATGATATTGTGTGTGTATATAACTGATGAATCCGGAGACCAGTCTACATTATTAACTATTTCCAACCATGATAGGGATGATTAATTTAAGCTAAAATGAATCCTTTTTCTACTTGACTGTTTAATTTACCAACTTAAACATGAAATAATCATGGATTTTGTACCTCAGAATAATAACTGAACTACTTCTGAAATCATAGAACTTCAAAATAAGGGAAAACCTTTACTTAAGAAATTCTCTAACACTTTGTATCAACAAAACAACTCCTAGTTTAAAACTTATAATATAAGATATTGATAATGATTTCAAATGACATTGTCCAAATTTAAGGTTCAATTATAAAATTTTGTCATATTATATAGATTATTACAAATCATTGTATACCGGATATAGAGAAAATTCCATTCCAATCATGTCAACTCTTTAAGATTTAATAAAGATATGATTATCGTCATTATTATTATTATTTAATTTCATGATCTACTATATTCATTATTAAACTGTGTATATTCTATATTTATACGTATGTTGAACCAAATCAAATCATATCCATTTGATTATTGTATTTAAGTTAATTTAGATTATTAGATCTAATCATCAATATATATATATATATATATATATATATATATATAAGGTCAAAAAGTATACCATCATTATCACTATTTACCGTGAGAATGTAAACAAAACTAAAAAAACCACATGATCATTCATGTATCGGCGATTATCTTGATCATCATGATCTGAAAATAGATTTCATTATTGAATTGTTCTAAAATTTTATTCTTTTTTTTTCATTCTCTCCACCTTTCTGTATCTCTCTGTCTCTTCGTATCAATTTATTAGACTGCTCTTTTTTTATTTTCTGTAAATAGTATTGATTGTTTATCGAAATTCATTGCTTTCAACTACTTATTCTGTTATTATGAACAGTTGATGATTTGATTAAATGGTTAACATTATCTGTAATTTGTTCTAATGTTTAACAATTTTATTGTATCTAGCTCGTTTGACCACTATTTTCTGTTTGTTTAATGAGTAAATAATTAGTACTTGAATTGTAAGCAAAGATGAATAGTGGCTAACAGTGGAATCCAGGACAAAGCGCGTTTCGCCCTATTTGGGACTCGTCAGCTTGATGTACCTGCATCTCAGAGTTGATGTTCACTCTGGGACTGGAACCCAGTACATTTTGTTTTAAACGCCATCTCGTTATGCAGCTGATGAGCCTCAAATAGGACGAAACACGCTTCCTGGATTCCACTGCTAGCCACTATCCATCTTTGCTTATAATGCTTGTAAATTAAGGCTATATCAAGGCAACACGCACAGTATGCACTTATGCTAATAAAGTAATACTAAGTGAATTTAATACTTGAATGTTATGTATCTTTCATGATGTGATTTTAGAACCTAGTAGTTCATTGTATTTGTCTTTTTCATCTGGCATATTATATATAGGTACATTGATATATTCATAGGAAATAGATATTTGTAATGAAATTTCGCTGAAATATTCACTCCAATATTCATTCATCATTCATTCATTCACCAAATAAACTTTGAAAATTGATGAAAAACAGCAATATATAGCAGACTCATTGAACATTAGATAAGTTATAAATAACCTTAATCAATTGAATCTATAATATATACATTAATAAATAATATCATATTGTACTTCTTTCAGAAGGGGTTTTGTGGAGATTTCAGTATTTTTCATAGTTGAAATCATGAGTCAATTGAAACTAGACCACCATGGAAAACCTGAAAGCACTGGACGGTCAACTCGTCCTACTGTGAGACTCCTCACTGGCAGTGCGCATCCACGAGCGAGCAAGATTCGAACTCAGGACCTACCAGTCTCGCGCCAGAGCACTTGACCGACAGACCACTGAGATGGCCGGCATCTAACGGTGTTAATGTCTAACTTCAACCAATCCACGAAGTTTAACAACCGTTCACATCTCTGTTGACTGATCAAGATATTTTATCTCAGTAAATTTTCATCATTTATATTGTTTACAATTCAATTGTTAACATTAATTTAAAAAGGAAAAAACAAAAAAACTTGTTTCATTGTCCTAAATTTGACCGATTGATAAAATAAATCTGTATCACTTTGATCATTCCAATTTTTTTTTATAAATATAAACACACTTATTGTATATAAGTGTAAATATGTTTTTCACCATTCAGTTTATACATTCTTAAAGAAAGGTGAAATGTTCGTTTGTTTTTTTATACTTAGATATATTTGAATATGAAATATTAAACTATAATCATTTCAAATAAGCTCATGTTATGTCAGGATGGTATTTTTTGAAAACAAATCCAGTAGGTCTTGGGAGGCGGGATCGTTGATGTGCACTGACACTGAGGAGTCCCATAATAGGATGAAACGGCTGTCCAGTGCTTCTAGGTTTTCTATGGTGGTCTAGCTTCAATTGACTCAAGATTTCAACTACGAAAATATTCATTGTTCTTTTTTTTCAAAATATTTTATTATAATTTTATTTTTTTTTATTATTTTCCGTGGTTTTTTAATTATAATGGTAGAAATCTTCTTCTATATGTATGTGCATAAACATAAGTATACATTGATCTTATGTATGCGTACAAATACTTCAACAAGAAAGTGCTCATCTACAGAGAAACGGTCCATTCATTTCCTATATAGGAGTTTTGTAAATGATGTATTAGTGAAATTCATTTTTTCAATTTTTTTTCTACCTTTTCTTTGATTATTTCGTCATATTGACTTCTATTTTTAATATAAAAATGAGAAGCTAAATGTTAACAAAATAGATAGATATACTGTTGGTTGACTAATAACTAATTGGTTAGTATTAATTGTTGATACATTTCATTATAAAACTTGCATCAAAATATATCCTCGTTGGTCGTAGAAAAATAGTTTAATTCAATACGAACTAACTTTAGATGGTTTAGTGTTAAAAACCAAATATAATCAGTAAGCGATATTATGTACCATCTTTTAAACTTCTTAGCAATGTTAACCTGCTACTTATCACTGGTAAAATTGAAGAACATTTTAGTTATGTGGTGTTCATGATAACTTTGAACGATTGAGTAAAAATTTAAGAATATACATTATCAAATGTTTTTTAATTCATGATATAGTGAGATGATCATCCAATGTTACCAGTGGTATATTTCGTAACGTCAAAATTATTAAATTTCTCAAGTCATAACTTTCCATTGGAACTTCGAAAGTTTATCATAAGATGAATAAATAATGAGTCATATGAAACGAGTTATTTCTTAACTAAATCTATAGTTTTTTAGAACGTTTTAAGTGATGAACAATACATATTTCCTGATAGAAATAATTTTCAAATTATATAAATTATTTACGAAATCACCAAAACTCACAAGTGATTAACTTTAAAATAGATCTATTGGCATTCTAAGAAGAAGCTCTAGCTGATAGAATCACTCATGAAATAGGATAATAAATCAATCTATATCACAAATTAAGTAAAGTTCATATTAATTGGTTGGATACAGTTGGAAGGTAACCTTGAAACTGGGTTGCACCCTTAATGGACGCATCAGCAAGGCTTACCAATGATTTTGAAGCAACTAATACTCTCCATAGGATTACAAATCTATCTAAATAGAATTAGTGTCAAAGAAGTTGTCAGTAAACTAGTCGGACTGTGAACAACTTATTGTAAGACTATGACATTCATATTAACTGGTCGTCAATGTTGACAAATGGGTTCGGAAAAATAGGCTAATGGATTTTCACTTCGTAGTCTAAATGTATCCTGTTTGCTGGATAATCCTAAAGTTTTTCATTGGATCTCCAATAACATCACAAATATTTGTCCAAAACAGTTATACAATGACATTTGTTTTACAATGCTTCTATTGATATCGGTTCCCGTTAACAATCATATTTATATAATTTAATGCTTCAAAGGAATCATCTATCTGGCTTATTCCAGTGAATACTTTGGTTAACTATATGATATACTGACAATTTTAATTGATAACATTCTGATTATTTATTTTCGATACATGCTATTTTGAATATTCTATTATTCATATCCAGTTTGTTTAAATACAAAACTTTTGTTCACTAAACAGAGTATATTTGCATATCTGAATGGAACTGAGTTAGTTCATAGCACAGATTTCAGTGGTTGACTGATCAACTTTTTTTTCACAATATTAACCTTTTTCTAAAATTTTATTACAACTATTTTAAAAACAAAAATTATGTGCTTAAAAAATACACAACAGTTTATTGTTTAAATATTAGATCATCGAATATGGAACAGAATAAGAAAGTACATTTCAGGGAAGGTGAAATTGAACTTTATTTAGTTTAGTGGATATGATTTTAGTAATATACCTCTCCTATAAGTAATTTACATATCTAATTTATTATCAGGAGAGGGTTTTTGTGGAGATTTAGTATTTTCATAGTTGAAATCATGAGTCAATTGAAGCTAGACCATCAGGGAAAACCTGGAATCACTGGACGGCCGATTCATCGTATTGTGGGACACCTCAGTGTCAGTGCGCATCCACTACCCCGCCTCGCCAGCGAGTTTCCAACCCAAGACATACCAGTTTCGCGCTAGAGCACTTAACCGATAGAACACTGAGCCGGCTGGCATCCCATGGTGTTAATGTTTAACTTCAGCCAATCCACAAAGTTGAGTAGCCGTTCACCAATTGTCTTCAGTGAGTTTCTATCTCACAACAGACGTGGTTCGAACTCCACTGGTTACTGCTTCTCACTAGAACTCCAAGACATGTATCTTGAAGTCAGTTACTAGTGAGCATATGATTATTATTATCAGAAGTAGTTTTTTGTGGAGATTTAGTATTTTCATAGTATTTTCATATATAATTTAAGCCATAAATAAATATTTCTGTTACAGTGTTTGTCATTACTTTTGTTTTTATCAGTAGAATATAATTAAAGTTACTAATTACTTAAGAAGTAAGCTATTGTAAGTATTTGTAAAGGACATCATGCAGATAATCATATTTACTTCATTTTCAATTCAATGTTCATAATAAAAATTAAGGAAGCTTAATTGTAATATCGAAGAAACCAGATACGCATTTATGTTTAATTCAATGGAGTTATGTAAAGATTGTTTTAATTTTTGAATAGTATTCGTCACAAACTGATTTCACCTTGAGGTACCATTAAAAACTAGACAGTAGTGAATAGCTGGTTTGTCCCAGTGTACATTTGTAATACTCTCTTTAATTTTTTTGTTCAACTGACAGTTGCTGAAACAATGAAAGAAACCTATTGTGTTAATGAAAAGAAAGACAACTCAACACAGAAAATCTTTTCGACTATTTCATTTTGTTAAATTGTACAATAGTCAATTTATTTACTAAAAATAGTAGTTTATAGTAAAACAAAAGTGTGTTGTGTAATTTTTAAAAATACTAAAGTAGTATTGTGCTATAAATCGCTTATCGAAATCAAATATTCAAAGAAAACTATGTAAATACTGAATGGCTAATGAAAGATGCTAAGACGAAGATAGTTTGTTGATGAGTGACAATTGTCTACCTCAGATCAGTATGTAGTTTAAACTGTGAGATTAAGTGAGTGTTAAAATGATAGTTAATCAGTAATCGTGAGAAAATAATTAGAAAGGAGTAAAACAACGGTAGACTATTGAAGATATAAAGGACAGTTAAGACTAAGGTAGAATGGAAGATTAAACAAACTGTTTTTGTATGGAAAAGTTGGGATTGAATTAGTGAACATATAGAGACCCTGTTGTACATTATTTTTTTAAATTTTTACTCCTTTCGATTTGATCCATTTAACTATATGTTTGATTTCAAATGAGGATTCTGGTGAAACATAGTGACCGGAATTAATTAAATATTCCCAGATTGAGTGTTTGACATACATTTTACAGTTCTTTAGATAGTCAGGCAAAGTAACGTTCAAAATGTTGTTAGAAGGTTGGCTGATATAGTAAATCATATCCGTATAGCCACCTTATTGAACTATATTCATTTCTAAAAGTGTTTTCTTTTTTTGTATAGTCTTGTGGTTTACAAAATATCAAATGAATCAATTTATCTAATTTATATATGAATTTTAGACGTACAAAAATCCTGGAACATGTCGATCAAATAAGGTAAGTTGAATAATTAATAGTTAGTTATTTTGTTTATTGACTGCCGAGGAGTCCCATAATAAGACGAAACGGCCGTCAAGCAGTGCTTCCAGGTTTTCCATGGTGGTCTAGTTTCAATTGACTCATGATTTCAACTATGAAAAGACTAAGTATAAGTCAAACTGAATCAATCAAATAAAATGTCTACAACTTTAATCTAATTTCTATATTTGCCTTTTAATGTAGAATGAAATTTCACATCATTAAAACATTCATTAGTATCTAAGTGATGATGTTCAACATTTCACTTAGTATCAATGTTAAACGAATGAGCAAATCAAATGATCTTATTGTGTAATCTATTCACTAAAACATTTTATGAATAAGCTTACAATAGCAATACACCTATGATAGCTTATATAAATTTGTTTTACTCAAGTTAAACATTATTATCCACCGATCAGTTACCTGTAAACGCTAGTCCCAGAGTGAACATCAACTCTGAGATGCAGATACATCCAGCTGACGAGTCCCAAATAGGACGAAACGCATGTCCTGGATTCCATCGCTAGCCATTAACCATCTTTGTTTACAATGCTAGTATGAATAGTTAAATTAACTTATGAAATACATGGTAAGTAACCACAGATGTAAAACTAATAAATTGGTTTCTTTCATTCAAATCTTCATTAATTTTTATTAGGATAAAAATGGAATCATTTTGTTTATGTAAATCTGATTTCGTATATAAAGAATTTATTGTAGGAAACCACAGTACAGACCAATAAAATCCAGTCCTAAATATCACACTTACAAGTATCTGACTACCTTTTGAATAGGTCAGTGGCTATCTTGACACAGTAGCTTGGTGAATAATGCTTTAATGTTTGAAGTGATAAATATTAGAATCGCGTGTTAATGTGAGCATCTGTACTTGAATCCAGGTACATTCATTTAGCGAGCTCCAAAATAGTAGAAGTGCATCCTGGATTCTAATTCTAATCATGATTCAAAAATATCACAAGTCTCCATTTAAATTAATCTGATGGTAATATATAGGGTCCGGAGTATTTTTGTTTATACCATTACTGCTAACAGAGGATAAATTAACCAAATGTCAGTAGATTGGCTTCTAAAGTTAACAGCTTGATACATATTCTATTAATTGTATTGCAGAATACAGTATTATTTATAGACACTTTTACAGATGCATACAAGATGAACGAAAGCCTACCATGTATATTGTGAAACCATAATTATCTATGCAAAAGAAACTTGTGTGGACGCCATGATTGCATAGGATAGATGGATTAGGACTAGAGGTGGAATATAGGAAGCGTATTTCGTTACGTTTTGGATTCCTCATATGGATTTACCTGTATATCGCAGTCTTGATATTTACATTAGGACTCGATTCAAGTAAGTTTCGTTGACCAATCCTAAATTGAGCTAAATGTGAATAGTGTGATCGACTGTTAGTTACAATCTATCCATCCTATTAAACTTTTGACAAATGATCATGTTGAAACAATATATTCAGGATGTACATACACAAGCAACGGTTGGTCAGAGTTCAGTTCTAAACGCTAACAACGGGAACAATTCAAACACTAAATTGACAACCCACAGTTTTCACAAAAACCAAACCTTTTCTCACTCTATCTACCACCCAAGTTAAACTATTACTCCGAATTAATTTATTATGAATTACATTTCATATTAAATTTATCATATCATGCAATCTATTTTCGAAATTAGCTATCTATCTTTTATTAAATCCTGACAAAACTATCATGTCTATTGAGTTTCCCAAAAACTTCAAATCTCCCAGAGAGTACGTCGCTTTCATACCATTCTGAATTGATATCCAATAATTCACATTGTTATTTTCAGGCAGTGCATAATTACATTGGATTACGGTTGTTTTAAACAAATCTACATTGTTTCATAACTTCGCCATTTTTTTTATGTTTCTAGATGTCCCGTTTTATTTCTAACCGGTGCATTAGCATCACATAATCATACAGTGTTTCGCCTATACAATGCTGTTCTATCTGCTGTACGCAATGATCCAAATCTTCAAGGTAAAGTTGAGTTGATTCAACTAGACAACGTTGCAAATGTATTAAGTGAACAGGTGAGGCTTATGTTGTATTTATAATAATACTGGAATGTGTTAGAAATAGACGTATTTATTTTGAAAATAGCTTCTTTATATGACAAAACGATATCATTTCCTCGCTTTCATACAACAAATATTAAATAGTTTGTTTATGTATAACTGTAGGAAAACTGATGTTAGATAGTTGGAAGTAGTAGACCTACGTTTCGTGTTAGTTGGTACTTGTCAGTAATAAATACTTGCAGCAACGAGGTAACTGATGCTTCCTGTGGAGTTTCATCCCAGACAACTTATTGCTTCACATAAGTCGAATAGATCCCATGAGAAAAACATAATTTATTTTTAGACGAAAACTATGTCATACAACAGCTAGTGAACCGACGATCATACACTTACACAACCTGAAACAAAGATTATTGAATTTCATAGTTTACGTCAACGACTGATCCTAATAAGCAACCACTGAAAGCAAGGGAGAATTAGACAACTGTTCCGTCCCAGTATGAAGCTTCCCACCAGTGAGCATTTGTGAGCTCATTGAAGTTAGAACCCAGGACCTCTGATTATCGCTTCAAGAGTTTAATATTTCGACCAATCAGCTTTAATTCAGTAACTTACATTTCTAACTTAAATCAATTCGAGATGTTGTGTCAGTATCCGAAAGTACTTGATTCCAATCATGGGGAATTGTGGATGCGCACTGCTGAGTACTTTATTAGAACAAAACAACTGTCTGGTGCATCTTGATTTTCACTAGCTGTTTAACTAAGATAATTCCATGATGCAAATTGCACGACATGCATATTATATAAATCAGTTAGAGATCGTCTCGAAAGAATACATCTGATGTATTCTCAAAATCTATCATCATTGTCATTATAATTAAATCAATATTCGCAATTTACTCACATATCACTATGCAATTTTATTAAACCATTGTTAGCCAAGTAAGTAACAAAAATTGCTTCATTCTAAAAACCTACATTTTTTTTAATGTTTTAAAATTACAAAAGAAAACCATCTAATTAACAACGACATAACATTTGCCTTAATACATCTATAAATGTGCACATACATGGAGAGGAGATAGAGGAATGAGAAAACATCCTATTTTGTTTTAATATTTAACAGTTACTTATTTGAAAAATTTCGTGTATACTAGACGTAATTCGTCTCCTCATCGACTTATTCGAAAATTCTAAATTTATATTTCTACAAGAAAAAATGGGGGGTTAACTTGTTGATGTAAGAGTACATCAAGACGATCCACTCTTATAGTATATATATATATATATATATATATATATATATATATATATATATATATATATATATACTGGAAGAATATCAATTATATGCAATAACTGCGTAGTAATAAACGTGTCAAACATCCATTACAGCATTACTACATGAACAAATTTTCATAGTTGAAAGCGTGAGTCAATTGAAACTAGACCACCAGGGAAAACCTGAAAGCACGAGACGGCCGTTTATGGGACTCCTCAGTGGTAGTGCACATCCACGACCTCACCTCGCTAGATTCGAACCCAAGACCTACCAGTCTCGCTCCAGGGCACAAAAAACCCCTTATGAACAAATTTTTTTTCATTATCAATTACAAGTCGATTCTTACATTGCATTCGATAAGAATTTCTAGTTGTTGTTTTTTTGTGAATGATTTGCAAGAAATTAACTTGGTTAAGAATAATCTTCAACATGAAATAAGAAAATTATCTGTTCATATTTCATTATAGTTCTATATTTTTCATTATTCACTATATTAAGCTACATATCGAATGAATTACAGTATCTGTAGGAGTTGTCATTGGCATGTTACCGCCAAATGTAAAGTCCAAATTTTTTAGAGAATGATCACTGGGTAGTCATAGTCGTAATAGTAGCAGCTAATATTATATCAATCAATATGAATGTCTTAATTCTACTGTAGGTCACTGATATATAGGGTACTCAAACTCTTGATAATGACAACCTAACCACTCATCGATTCTCCAGAATTCTTGTAACTTGCATCTCGAACAGAATATACAAGATGAAAAATGCGAACAGAAGCTTCGCCCCAAAAATTAATTTATCTACAGAAATCAGGAGAGCCTATACGTTTACTAGTGACCCTGACATCCAGGGAGTTTCTTGGGACAGTGACAATATAGGAAGTTATTCAATCAGAGTGTTACACGGAATCCATTGGTTCTTTAGAAATGTTTGAAAAGTTTCTACTGAATGCTGATTGAATGAAATGTTTTCAGTCTTTTTATATCCTCTGATTGCTTAATTGATGAATTCTCGAGAGCTTCCAACTATTAGGGAATTGAACAACTCAGTGATAGTGTGGTGTGGGCTAATTATATACATACAATTACTATTTGACGATGGTCGAGCATTGAATGTATTTCAGCAGAAGATTGACGAGGAAAGAACGGAAGCGAAACGCAATTGGTATGACAATGCACGAACACTAATAATCGGAGACTATGGACTGATATATGCAGAAGGAATGGTCAAGATTGAGACAATTGATTGATAGTTTGCAAATTAACTGTTTACTGTATGGTTGTCAGATTTCAGTGGGGTAGTCTGTAATTTTCAAGTCTAATACATTCGTTTGTCCCCACTTGTATTCTCATTCACTACAGTAGCATCACTAATTGTGATACTGAGTGACGTGGATTCGAAACCGCCTTCTAGTATTAATTTCATCATGATTACAGATATCCCCTATAGATAATTGCCAACTAACATCAACACTAATTGTTAGGGCTTCCTTCTAATTTCATATCATAACTTACTGAGGCATTCAAATTACGATATAATTGTCACTGATAATATTACATAACCATTGTTTTGTATTGAAAATAATCGAATTTTAAAGATGAATATCATTCAACCTTAACCTAATGAATCATTTTAAAAATTAAATAATTATTATCAGAAGGGGTTTTTGTGGAGATTTATTATTTTCATAGTTGAAATCGTGAGTCAATGACTAAATCTCCACAAAAAACTACTTCTGACAATAATAATCATATGCTCACTAGTGACTGACTTCAAGATACATGTCCTGGAGTTCTAGTGAGAAGCAGTGACCAGTGGAGTTCAAACCATGTATGTTGTGAGATAGAAACTCACTGAACGGTTGCTCAACTTCGTGGATTGTTTAGAGTTAGACATGAACACCCTGGATGCCGACTCAATGTTCTATCGGTTAAGTAATCTGGCACGAGACTGGTAGGTCCTGCGTTCGAATCTCGCTGAGTCTTCCCGCAGTGGGACGAAATGGCTGTCAAGTGCTTCCAGGTTTTCCCTGATGGTCTAGTTTCAATTGGCTCACGCTTTCAACTATGAAAATACTAAATTTCCACAAAAAACCCCTTCTGATAATAATTTTGTAATTATTTAAATCCCCTTTGATGTAATGACCTAATTCTATGAAATTTTTACAAAAACTAATGATAAACATAAATTTCATAAAAACGTTTATTAAACAAGTCATTAAGATTAGTGGTCATTACTACTGGTAAGGTTATGATATGTATATATATTCTTATTTATACAATGATTTACAAGTATATGAATGATTTAATTATACAGGAGTGAAGTAGTTAAAAAAAAGTACGTCAATCATTTTGCTAAATTTCAAAGTCTCATCAGGTCTGATGATTTAGTGTCTAACGGAATTTCAACATAAATTAAGGTCTTGACAACTTGAATCACTTGTGACCTGTGCCATTTGTTCATTTACTTAAAAATGGCTTGTATATTGTCCAGATATTCTCTCTGTATTATCTCATGGTTTTTGAAAGTCAAAGGCATTCCCACGTTGTATGTTTTCAATATTACACGCGTTTGAAGTACTTATCACATGTATACCGACCATGTAGTGAGCAGTAGGGTTAAATGAAAAGTATTAAGTAAGGGCGGCAAATCAGTTGATAAGGTTGTGATCCTCTGTTAACTGAGCAAATTCAAACATGTGTCACGTATTTTCAACCAATCCTTGTCTCAATGAGCTATGGTATGTAAGGTAAGATTATATTTTAAGAAAACGTAGAGACGTTAAACGAAAAACTTAGCATATGTCCATGAAGTTCTTAGCTGCTATTTCAAGCTAAGTTGATAGGTATTAACTATGTATTTGGGGTCGATACGATAATTTTGGAAACATTAGTCAACTAAATTCATTTAGTATTGTTTGTTTGAATCTTCCCGTCGATGTGTTAGGACTGCAACTGGTCAGTCTCTAGTTGAGCCACTATCCATCTCTGCTTACCATGCTTGTGAAGTAAGGCTATTTCGAGGCAATACGCACAGTATGCACATATGATAATTAGAGTCCGACTAGTTGCAGTCCTAACAAATCGATGGGAAGATTCAAACAAACAATACTAAATGAATTTAAACTTTACCACATTGCACAAGCAAGTGGCTGTCAGGACTCAGTGGCTGAGTGGATAACGCGATGGCGTTTGAAGCGAAAGGTATTGGGTTCGAGTCCCAAAGTGAACATCAACGCCGAGATACAAGTGCGTCCAGCAGACGAATCCCAAGGACGGAACGCGCATCCTGGATTCCACTGCTGGCCAATATCCATCTCTGCATTAGTCAATTAGTTTATAATCGGTCTCTATGGTGCAGGGTATTCACTCTTTGTTATCTATCGGATCTGGAGATTTGAATTATGTTTTCTACAGCTAATATTTTCTACTATTACTCATACTGTCAGTAATTCCACCACTCTGAAATTGATTTTTCAATTTCTTATGATCGTTTAGTATAGCTGCTTAAACCAATGTACATATGTACCAGGTTTTATGTCCCATGTTATCTACCGACTAAGTGATGTAGATTTATGCTTCAGTTAAAATATCGTTCAATTTTCCTTAGTTTTAAATCTCCAGATTAGATTTTTTCGAAATTTTAGACAAAGAATTATCATTGATGTGTGGCTAGTGGACTTAAATGTGATTGATCAGTAAGCGTGAACTGGTAGACCCAACTTACTAACTACTACTATTGATTTTTACTCAGGAAATACTGTAGAAACACTGTAGACCATGTTGAATAAAACACTGTCAAGTTTATACTCTGGTTCCCTAATTTCTGTTCATTAACAACGTATTTAGTATAACATGATCCAGTCTAGTGATCGTATAATTTACATCAGCGGTTAACCGCAAAACAGAAAATGTTTCTATTCGAACTTGATATCAGTCGTTTAATCTTGCTAATCCAAGCACTGTACGGTGATCATTACACTAGATTATGAATTTTCTTAAAATCAATATTTATGTAATTATTATCTTTGTATTCTATTATGAATATTTATATATTTATTTTAATCAAAAATCAAACTAACTAGATTTTTTTTACTTTCTATTCAGCCTGAAAAAGTTGCCGAATCTCTACAATTTTTTATCCAAGGATTAGGTTTAGGTAAGTATATATATAAATATTACAGTAATGATTTATTCATCACCTTAATTCTAGGAATTCTAAATATTATTTTGTACTTGGCTATATACTCAGTTTTATATTACATTTGTCTCGGTTAGAGCCCCCAAATGCCCTGGTACGGCCGAGAGTGAGGAGAGTCCGCTCTTCCTCTCCAAATGCTCTCACATGGCCACGCGAATATAAAGTCTCTGCCAGGGAAGTCCTAATCACTGCCTTCTCGTACTACGGGTGTTGTTTACGAAATTGAGGGGATGAAAAGCGAATGTACGGCACTTTAACCGGGTTAGTGGACAAGGTGGGTCCACCTAGGAGAGTTGGAAAACCCTGATTGCAAACCAATGATGCACATGGGCTCTAGGATCCTGAGGAAACAAATGGCGTGTGAATCAATTGTCGGTCACCGGCTTCCATGGGACTGCATCTCCTTACGATGCTCCATTGCATTGTGGATCAGACCTTTAGGTCAAAGGCTCCGGGTGTGGCCGCTTAAAAAAAACCACCTGCTCCGATTTGGTCACCTGGGCGGTATCGCAGCCCTCATATAAATCAAATGAAATACGAAATCGTATTCAAAATAACAAGGGTAGATGAACAGCAATCAATCGTTAGAAAAACGTTTATATATTTATGGTATATACATAAGAACCTTCTAGATGCTTCTCCAATAATCTGCCAGAGCTGATTGGTTTAAAATTAGCCAATCAGCGTGCGCCGTCACGATCATGCACATAATGTGCCTTAATCCTGTTTTATTCCCGCTAACAACATGAATATATACTTTTTCTTTCATTTTTTTTCAGCTGGTGGTTTAGTTAATCGACGTATGAGTAGTACAATACCTGTAGCTAGAAATAGATCATTATCAATGGAAGAATATGATCAACCAAAAGGTGCATCAAATTGTATATTTCATAAAAATCGTAAATATAGTACAACTACTGGTAGATTAATACAAGATGATAGTCCAATTAATGAACAAGAAGATCAAACTGAAGCTTAATTATTATACTCAGCATTATATAAATATATATCGATATATATATATATACCTACCTATATAATTAGTTTATTCTACCTTTACTATTCTGAATATAGATTTCCTTTAAAAACTATCATGATACATATACAATAATGATAATCCTCTTTCATAATTAATACAACTTTCTGAATGGGGTTTATTTTTTATTCAATCTTTTTTTTTCTTTATTAATAAATAGGCTTCGTTTTTGTTTCCTGTTTAGTTTACAAAAATCATTCTTTCTTAATAATAATAATAATAATGATAATCAACAATTTTTTTGGCCGAATGATTTTTCTATTGTTTTTTTTCTTTTTTGAAAAAAAACTTATTAGCTAGGAAAAAATTTTCTTTTCTCTTCCCTACCTTCTTCTCAATACTACTACTACTACTAACGACTACTACTACCACGACTACTACTACCACTACTACTACTACTATCGACTACTACTACTACTACCACTACTACTACTACTACTATCGACTACTACTACTACTACTAGTACTACTACCATTACAAATTCTTATATTGTCAATTGAATTATAATCAAAAAAGAAAAGAATAAAAGATTATAAATCATGGAAATAAATCTTTAGTTGATTATTATTATTACTATTACAATCATTTTGTATTGTATTTTTACTGTAGCTTTTATAATAATCATCTTACTTTACAACTATTATTACTGAGTATATACAATTCATCGTCAATTACTTTCTTCATCTTTCACCTTGTTTCTCTTTTTGAATGATTTCTATGTTTGTGTTTTCTTGACATTACAATCTATTGTTTACGTTACATTTTATTTGTAGAATAATTAATAATAATAATATGATTATTGTTACTTGTTATTTTCGTTAGATATACTATAGACTTTTTTAAATTAAATGAGTTGATGAATGTTTACCTATTAACCCTACCTGGTAGGTTGATGAGGTGGGTGGATGAAGTTATCATCGTGATCCAACCGATCTATATGGGCTGGAATACTTTTTCCTTTAGATATTACTATATTAGATAGGTCAGTTGGTGAATGGTACGATTAAAAGCAGAAACTCAAGGTTTGATGGTGAAGTCGTACTGTTGACTATACAGTGGTGTGATCAGAGTAAAATGTTTCCCTCAGCGATCCTGTAATCACACGATGGAAGGGGTTAGAAAAGGTCGACTGTAAAAACGTTACACCTTATCTTACCACATGGATATCCGTTTCCAGCGGTAGGGGCATTAAAGTACACAGCTAACATATAAAAAACTTGGAAGAACTGGACGGCCGTTTCGTCATTTTATGGGACTCCTCAACAGTGCGCATCCAAAATCCCGCACTTGCGAGATTCGAACCCAGGACAATTGATGAACGGTTGCCCAAAAATCGTGGATTAGTTGAAGTTAGACATTAACACCGTTGGATGCTGGCTCAATGGTCTATCGGTTAAGTGATCTGGTGCGAGACTGGTAGGTTCAGGGTTCGAATCTCGCGAATGCGAGATTGTGGATGCGCACTGCTGAGGAGTCCCACAGTAAGACGAAACGGCCGTCCAGTGATTCCAGGTTTTCCATGGTGGTCTAGCTTCGATTGACTCATGATTTCAACTATGAAAATACTAAATTCTCCACAAAACCCTCTGTGATATATAAAAAACTCCCCACAAAAAGGCAGTATGTAATCAGTCTCAAGCAGCTGTCTCTCTGAGGTCACTACTAACCTAGTTTACATTATATGGTATAAAGAACCGGGAAGTGACAAACGCCCTCATACCTATGACATCGATAACGCTGACAAGAAAAAACATTATCAAAAGAGATTAAAATGAAATCTTTAATGAAAACCACACTAATATCAAGCACTCATTCACCAAATGAACGAAAAACTGATAGAAAGTCTTGGGTACAACACACTAGGCGACCGTTAAGTATAAACACAACATGAGACGTTTGAAAAGTATTTGAAAAGAAGAAACCAATTAGATAATTGTTATATCTTGTGGCCTGCATGCCCTGTTCAATATATGACGTAACGATGCTGCCAATTATAGAGCAGCGAATTATCGATCGGATTAATCACACACGAAACCCGTACGAGCAGTTTAGAGTACTTATCAGTCCTGCTTTCTGCCTAGCCCAGCCAGTTAAGTCCAGAACACCAATAACAGCCTCTGTGGTATGAATCATTATTCTCAAATATACTGGATTTATACACCAAACAGATAGACCACATCCTACCATAAAATAGAAAATAACATGTGTACAAGATTTAGCCAAATGTGGCTGTGAATGTGGGAAGCAGTAATTAATAGACCGGAGATAACTCAAGAACGGTAAATCGTATAGTAATAATTAACAAAAATTAGAAGGATTTCAATGGACAAGGAAAATATAATATTTACTGGTGTATAATGTGTGAAATGGTTTTTTGTGGAGATTTAATATTTTCATAGTTGAAAGCGTGAGTCAATTGAAGCTAGATCACCATGGAAAACCCAGAAGCACTGGATGGCCGTTTCGTCCTATTGTGGGACTCCTCAGCAGTGCGCATCCACAATCTCGCATTCGCGAGGTACGAACTCAGAACCTACCAGTCTCGCGCCAGAGCACTTAACCGATAGACCACTGGGCCGGCATCCGTTGGTGTGTATGTCTAACTCCAACCAAACCACGAAGTTGAGCAACCGTTAATGAGTGAGATTAAGAGAAAATAAAATCAACTAACGATTTTTTTAGTAGATCATATTACTGTCATTTAATACTAACTCAGTCAGTCAGTCACAACGTAGAACTTCGTACGTACGTACATCAGTTCGAGTTGCCATACCACATTAGCACAGAGATGCAGTTGTCGATTCAAATCCCATAGTGGTAGAAGTAGTAAGAGTATAATCAGAAATCCAAAAGATTAGGGTTTGAAGAAATTATTGAAGGAGTATAGTACAGTGAAATAAATTTGGAAAGAGAAAAAGATAAAGACATGAGGAATACAGAAGATTAGAATTTGGTAGAACACAAATAGTGGATGCACCTTCGCCATTGCAAACGATTTTGAGCCATGTCATTCAAGGTCTCTAACCATCGGTTGCTGTCATCTCGCGAATCCCAACCAGGTAGTCTACACCTACCAACATGGCCCAGTCCACTTGTCAGTGACTTCATTGATTTGTGCCACGTTTTGGTCTGGCCACCCTTAGCTTTCTTCCAACCTACTCCTACACCATGAAACATTGCACGTCGGGGCAGTCGGTGGTCGGGCATACGTAACACATGTCCCAGCCATCTCAACTGATGAAGTTTCACTACTTCATCAATCGATTTGCCATCCCTACCTAGTACTCGTTTCCTAATAACTGCATTACTTACCCGGTGGTCTCAGGATATACGAGCAATGCATCGAAGACACCTATGATCGAACACTAGTAGCCTACAAATATCCTCTACTCTTATGGTCCATGTTTCACTGCCATAAAGTAGGACGGAACGAACTGCTGCACAGTAAACTCGTCCTTTGGTTGCTAGACGGATATCTCGCCTACGCCATAAATGACGCAAGTTGGCGAAAGCTAGACGAGCCTTCTGTATCCGTGCTGAGATTTCGTCACATACCAGACCACAAGGACTGATGAGACTCCCAAGATAAGTGAAGCAGTCAACACGCTCAACTACTTCACTCCCTATCATCAATGAAGGTATCGATGCAACCCAATCCTGAAGTAACATTTCGCACTTCGGGGGGGGGGAGAATCACATCCCGAACATGCCTTCATAGTTGCTTATAGTGGTCAGAAGACTCTGCATGTTGTCAGCGTCTTCACCGAGTAAAACTATGTCGTCGGCGTATTCTAAGTCAATAAGTGAATCTCCCGGTAAAAGTTCAACTCCTGGAGGTTTAGCTGATGAAAGTGCTATCTCCAAAAGTATGTCAATGACAAAGTTAAACAAGAATGGGGAGAGTGGACAGCCCTGACGAACGCCACTTGTGGTAATCAGTTATGATGACAGTTCGCCATAGGCTCTAACTCGACCAGTTGTGTTCGAGTAGAGAGCCTTTATGAGGTTAATGTACTTCTTTGGTACTCCTTTCAGTGACAAACACTGCCATAGAACCTCACGATCAACGGAGTCAAATGCCGCCTTAAGGTCAAGAAATACTACTATTGTGGGACGTCTGAATGTGTGTCTATGTTCTAGGACCTGACGTAGGGTGAATATCTGGTCTATGCAACCACGTCCAGGTCGAAAACCAGCCTGGTTTTCTCTAGTCTGCTCTTCACGAGCTTTGGTTAGGCGACCTAGTATTATTGAAGCTAATATTTTAGACACTATATTAGTCAAACTGATCCCTCTGTGACTGTCACAGGAGTACTTTTGTCCTTTCTTATAGACTGGCACAATCAGTGATTGGGACCAGTCAGATGGAATTACGTCCAGTTCCCAGATTCTACCTAAGACCTCAGTCAATCTCACTGCTAGTGCGGGACCACCATCCTTAAAAATCTCAGGGGTCAACCTGTCAGGGCCTGCTGCTCTCCCTCGCTTCTGTCTACTGGGATCCAGTCTAAAAGGGCTAGTTCTGCCCTAGGACTTTATGCTATACCTACTCCAGCGAGGCCACGGGAAGCAGCATCAAGGCTTCCAGATACACGAAGCGTGTATCGAGATGAAACTTTATTTTGATTAGGTGCGGTTAAGTGAATGACACTACTCGGATCTTGTATGCGCGTTTCGGAGACGCAGCACACATCGATGGTGTAAGATTCTAGATTCCTAGCTAAGGAAGCCTGTTGTCCTATTTGGCATAATGTTCGGACATTAAAAGTTCCTACATGTAGTTTAGAGCGTGGTTTCAGGAGACCAGGAATAACGTTCTGTGTACTCGAATCGTTTGCCCTAGCGGTGCGAGGTGATAAAAGTACGTGGGAAGGGTTAGTCGTGGAGATAACAGAGTTATTAGGTGTAGGAAGGATTTGAAAGCGACCAACTTGGTCTCGTGTGCAGTTAAGGGTATAAGGGCTAGTATAACTTCCCGGCTGCCCACACCGTGGAAGGGTATTTCTTGAGGGACCTGAAAAAGAAGTTGGATTAGTGTTGGTCTTAACGACCTGGGAGCGTGACCGCAGTGCCCAAGGGACAACTGCTTGAGGCCGGTCACGCACGGCCTTTTTGTGAGGGATTTTTGACGTGTTAGCTCCGTTCTTCAAAAAAAACCTTACCGCCGGAGACGGATATCCGTGGGATAAGGCGAGGTGTGCATTTTTAGGGCCGACCTTTTCTAACCCCACCCCTCCTTGTGGGAAGGCAGCATCGCTGTCATGCTGGTTGTCTGAAGGAAACACCTTACTGCCGTCACACCTCTGTACAGTCGACAGTACGACTTCGCCTTCGGACCTTGGGTTTGCTGCTTTTAGTCTAACCGCTCTTCAACCGACCTGTCTGGCATGGTAGGACCTTGAGGAATGATTGTTCCAGCCAGAATAGCTCGATTGGATCATCACGATAGGCAAGCCCGACCACCACGTCAAGGTAGCAGCAACGGTCGGGTAATACTAACTAGTTAGTACTAACTAATAAAAGTTTGATTATTTGCTTAAGATAAAAATAAGTAAATCGTATATTAATTTTTCATTAACATATGGAAAATACCCATAATAAACTGTGATTAATAGTAAATTCAAGTTGATGAAAAACGTTTTACACATCTTTCTTGATAGTAAAATGTTAAGAAATGAAATGGTACCATACTATATACCTGACCTGTTAATAGGTCTACTTTAGTGATTCAATATAACGAATCACTGCCTTATATTTCAATATAGTGCACGCGATGTTGAGTCTGTTAGACTAATCACTATAAAGCAACTTGGTGGATTGAATTC